AGCCACGTCTTATCAGCAGTGTGGAGGAATTATCATACGCCAGTTTCCACCTGTTTTTCCACCATAAGGTCGGTTTTTGGACTTGAATTAATATACATGACTACAAACCACATCTCAACTGCAAATTTCAACTGTAAAAAAGGCTATTTGTTTTTAGACTAAAATGGCTTTTTTTCAGCCTTGCTACATTTCGATCAAGGTCTGCACGTTGCATGAAATCCTCCCCACAACACCAACGTGGTTCTAGAGAACTACACGTTGTGTGTGCAGGAAGGATGAAGGTTTTAACAACTCAATGCAATGAAACTGAGTATTAAAGTCTTACAGGAGATTAGTCCTTTTGATTTCCGTTTGTCACTCAATGGTCACTGATATGCCATGTACATGTACCACTGTCAACTGTCCATCGTGTGTGTACAAAGTAAATTGCATGTATTTTTAAAACACAAATCATGTGAATGATCTTTGCATTTCATGGACATTATTTAGGTTCACACCAGCCTATATTTCACCAATGTATGAGCTGTCCTGGATGAGTTACTGGGCTGCACATTATATAGTTGCTGACTTGACACAAATGCCCAGAGAGGCTATATTTTCTCAACCCAGACAGCAAATAGGCAAATGAGTCTAATATCTCAACTGGCTTTCCATTTAGCATGACATTGAATAGTACATTAATATTCTTTGCCAGACTCCTGTTCTCTTTCCTGGTAGCATAAGAACCACCCACTTCTTGGGAGAAGGAGAAAGTGAGGGGGAAAAGGACAACAAAATTAATACGGCAAAGCCTCCCGTTAACAACCTTCACTGGAGACAGAGAGAGACAGAGACAGCGACACAGACCGAGAGAGAGAGAGAGAGAGAGAGAGAGAAAGAGAAGGAGTAAATCGGTGTCTGTTTCTACAAGGCACACGTTTAACAGCAGGAGAGGAGAGCGAACCGCTTGGCTGCATTCTCCCAGCCGACAGCCTATGAAAGAAAGGCTAGGAGCAGCCATCGTCATGACGATAAGGCAGCATGTCATGCATTGCTGAAGGTCGCCACTTACTGGATGGAGTCGCTTTCAGAGGCAGCGGCATCAGCGGCGTCAGAGGCGTCGGCTGGGCCTGGCTGGGAGAAACAGGATGACACAAAGGAGCCCATAGGAAGCCGGCCTCACCGGCAGGAGAGGAGGGGGAGGAGGAAGAGGAGAAAAGTCCCTAAGAATGAAACTCTTTAGCTTTAGCCTGTGTCATGTGACCAGCGGCCGGGTCCCTCAATGCTCTGTGCTTTGACCTACATGGAGACAAGAGCACTGCTGTTTCCTGCCCTCGGCTGCTGCTGCTGCTGATAGGACAACACAGGTAGAAAGCCCCGATTCTGCTTATCCATTTGAAGCCGACAGCTCTGGGCCGACTGGCCGGAGTATGTCTGTCTGTGTATGTGTGTGTGTTTGTGTGCGTGTAAGTGTGCATGCGTGCGGCAGGGAGCCGGCGAGAGGACGCGAGTTTAGTCCATGACGGTGCTGCTTGTGATATCCAGCTGGAAATGTGCCTTGCTTCCTGCCTCCCTCCCCATCTGCTGAAGGGGCCTGAGCCCTGAACGTGTGCTGAGGCCACTCCTCACGGAAGCATGAATGTAGGAAGGAGTGGGATTGTGCTGGCTGCTCGGGTGGTGGCAGGCAGGGTGTGTGTGTGTGTGTGTGTGTGTGTGTGTGTGTATGTGGGGGGGGGGGGGGATGTATTTATGTCCTTCACCGTACGAGTGTGAGAGTCGGGGCTCCGCGGGTTTGTGGCTGCTGTTCTACCGAGGCTATAAATAACACTGCTGCTTAATTTCCTCTAACATGGCTTGGTGGTAAAATGTTTAAAAAATTGCCATCGCAGGGGGATGTTGTCAGTTGCACACACGCGCTGAAAAATGCTGGAAATAGTGGACTACAGTATCAGCTCACAGGATAGATAACTAACCTCTGATGATGTACTGCAGTGACGTAACATATTGAATGCCAAATTCATTTTCCGAATGGAATATCATTGCTGCAGTGTTTAGGGACACGTATTAAATAGGCTGTGTTTCAGAATAAATCTTTTACAAAAAGCTCCCTACAAATTGGATGCAAGAGCCATCGGATAAAATTCGGAATTATTCGAAATTAGGATAGAAAGATTATGTGCATTTACAATTCACTGCTCATTTGACCTTTTTCAAGGGCAGATGGTTGTATCAATTAATTCGACCCATTACTCTTACCCATCCTTCCACTTTGACATGATGTGAGTCAGTTCCTACCAAAGGTCGATGATAAACATCAAAGCCGGGGTGAAGCTCTCCTTTCAAATGTGGGGAAAGGGTCAGACCACTTGGCTTGAGGAGCTTTTGAAGTTAGGGCTGTGACGGTCATGGAATTTTAGATCATGGTTTTGTCAGCCAAATGTTAATTTAATTTATCATTTAATTTATTTTCTCCTCTCCTGAATGCATGCGCTGCTGCTACAGGGAGGTGGGTGCATTGCCTAGGCAACCAAAGACTCATTTGCTACAACACCTTGCTTGTTTCAGCAAAGGAGTACAAAGTTCCATCATGTTGTAAAGAGTCTATGTTAACGTGGAAATCACGTGGTCCTCTGTAGCTCAATTGGTAGAGCATGGCGCTTGTAACGCCAGGGTAGTGGGTTCGATCCCCGGGACCACCCATACGTAAAAATGTATGCACACATGACTGTAAGTCGCTTTGGATAAAAGCGTCTGCTAAATGGCATATTATTATTATTATTATTATTATTATTATTATTATTATTATTATTATTATATTATTAAATGGACTAAACCGCACAAATGCCCGGCCATCCCGTCTTTAGTCAGCTGTTCGTTCCACACAAAAAAACCTTCATGACAGTCTTCATCTATAAATCGGCGGTTACACGATTATACAATTACCGTGCCAGCCCTATTTGAAATAGGTACAGTATATTCCTTTTAAAATAAAAAAAATGATGGGGGCATACATCTTCCCCTTGCTGCACCCCGCCCATGTAGCTGTGGATTTACTGTGTGTTTTCACGTTTGTGTTGGGAAAAGGACGGAAATGTCTGCAGCCTTCTTGCCCCCTGCTCAGTAATATACTCAGGAATTCAGACCTCAAATCCTAAAACCTGTTTCCAATGTAAGTTGTGCTCTTCCAGTTTCGGTTTTATTGTCTGTTAGCTTCAAAAAGTACAAGAACAAAGTTTACAATGTTTTGACTAGGGGAGGCTGCAGTAGGCCTAGACCAAATGTGGATTCTGAGAGCACCTAAAAAGGTCAAGGTATGGAACAACAAGACATTATTTCATTATGGCCAATTTAGGATTCACAAAATAATGCTTTACCACAAAACACAAAGAACGATGGGCAAGTTACTGTAACTGAGCTGGTGGGTTGTACACATTCAATTCTGTGCCTTTTAGATGTTTTTGTTGTGTCCACGGCACACTGTGCAAAAACAATCATATATTAAATGACACTTTACCTAATGGCCTGACCCTAATGGCTCATGCAACCAATGATAAAAACCTATTATCATTGTGTGGTGATGGGCTTTTCAAACTGCTCTTTCAGGTGTCCCTGGATTGGAAGAAAGTATCCAAAGTATACTGGAAAAAAGTATCCAAAAACCTAGCTATATCTGCATAAACATATTAGGAGACACTGGGGCGTGTTTCTTAACACCTAGGCCCACTGGGGCATGTTTCTCAACACCTCAGCCTACATAATATCAAAACATAGCCTAGGCTATATCTACTTGTAATCATAGATACCGGACTGAATAATGGAGATATTGATTCATACAATTCCTTATTGGGGTTTAAAGTTTACCCAAGGCAGTGGACCACCAGTATTATTCTCTCCCATGTAATACTGCAACAGAAGGATATGTCCAGCAGAAGGCAGCATTACCACAGTAATAAAACCTAGCGCAGCTACATCGATGCACAATGGCAGTGTTCTGTCCCAGAGTAGATTCAAGATCCTTAGTTGCTAAGTTAGCATCGTAATTGATAGCTTGTGTCACTCAAAGCCTTACTGTGAAGCAGGAACTGGGTAAGATTGGCAGGCACTGGGTAAGATTGGCAGGCACTGTGAAGCAGGAACTGGGTAAGATTGGCAGGCACTGTGAAGCAAGAACGGGTTAAGATTGTCAAATATCTGGGAGTTTGGGTGGATGAGAAGTAGAGCTTCACCACCCATGTAGGGAACCTTGTCAGGAAACTCAAGCTGTGTATTGGGGTTTTATTACCAACACAAAGCTCGTTTTTCCTTTGCTGCCAGGAAAGAGTTGATTAGTTGTACTTCTCGCTCTGTATTGGACTATGGTGATACTATTTATGTAAAAGCCTCAAGCTCTACAGTGAAGGCTCTTGACTCTGTGTATCATGCAGGCCTTAGTTTTGTCCCAAATCAGAGACGTCTAACTCACCATTGTGATCTCTACAGTCATGCCAGGTGGACATCACTAGCAACACGCTGGCTCAGACACCGGGACATTCTTATTCAGAAGGCCATTTTATCTATCCTCTCTTCTAGCTCCAAATGAAAACACAAACAAGCTCAGATCTCAATCTTGTTTTATGCCAACAGACCCGAACATTAGAACAGAGCATGGAAGAAGGTCCTTTCATTAGTCCCCAAGCCAACCTAAAACTCCAGGACCTGGTGTCCCTGGATGAGTTCAAAGGACAAATAGATGAACAGGTTGTTGAGACATGTAGTTGTTTCTAGTTGTTACCCCATGTCACTAGTTTGTGTTGCCTTATGTAAGGAAGCATGTTGTTTTACTTCACACACACACACACACACACACACACACACACCTCACCTGCTTTGATAAGCTTATGTAGAATAAATCACCTTGAACCTTCTGTTCAGTACCAGTGTAAGAAGTGCCACAACGTAGAACAAATGATCTACGAGAGAACAGGCCTAACAGTGTAGTGAGCCTGTTGTTATTCAGCCACAATAATAAAGTATATTTTTTCCTACCTCAGGCAGCCGTGCAGCCAGTCCTTTGGTTCCCGCTCCACCCCATTGGCCAGGGGTCCGCTGGAAAATGTATCTGATTGGCTGCTGAAAGCGGGGTCCCCACTCGCTACCACCTCCTCTAGGTAGGCCGACGTCACTTCCAGGGCGGCTTTCCCGCTCTTCCCCGTGGTCGTGACGCTGAGCACCTCCTGGCGTTCCCCCTGGCGCCCCACGTCGGGCGACACCTCCACGAAGTGGCCCATCTCCTTGAGGCGCTGCTGGATCATGGGCGTAAGGGGCATGTCGAAAGTTAAGCATGAGTCCACCTCATCGTCAGCCGAAGAAGACAGGGCGTCCAGGGAGTCCAGGCTGCTGTAGAGGGTGCTGCGGAAACGGTCCGACTCCAGGATGCTCTCGAACTGCGAGCTGAAGACGTCGGTGGCCTCCTGGCTCTCCGATGTCTCCTTGCCATCCTGGTTATCTGACGGGTCCTCGCTGCCATTGGTCTTCGTACTCCTGAGGGAGTCGGGGACAAACAGAGACAATCATGGAAACTTTGACTGGGGCCAAAAGTCAAGTCTTAGCCTAAACTTAGCAGAAGAAGACTGAAATTCAAACTGGCCTGTTGGGAAAACTTAGCCATTATATTTCACTTCACATTTCAGTTTGGCATTCCTCCTCATTGAAACGGTTTGAGCCATAGAGATAGAGGACTCATCTTTGTATCTGCCCTATTATAGAGTATGTGACAGCATGTGCAGCGCCATTGAGGCAATCTCCATTTTCAAGTAGTCCATTTTCTTCTTCACGATTGGCTGATCCCTCATGATGACCCGGTTGAACATGACTCCAACAGGGTCACCAGGAGGGATCAGTCAATGAAGTTGGAAGTCCCACCCAGTTGACTACATTAAAATGGTGGAAGCCCTCAATGGCTCTGCCCATGGTAATATGCCTTTTGGCCACTAGAGGCCTCTATCATTCTCTATGGTTTGAGTCTACCTTTAATGAGAGGCATTATTCAAAACCACCTCGTCTGCAATTGGATCACCTTCAACCAATCAGTGGACGGCCTAATTTATAGCAGTGTTTGGCCACCTTGGGTTTTGTCCTAAACCCACTCATTGTTTCTGAAAGGAAGCGGATTGGACCGGTCATTTGCTAACTCGTTCCAAACGCCAATCTATTGGAGGAAGGCCTGACTGATGTGATAGTGAAGTGAATCAGAATGGTGAATGCCGCGATCAGGCTGGTTCTACCAGGGTACTGAAACCTGGCCTAAATTGCTTGGATTAGTATATTGTTCCTCTGCCAAGAAGAAATCGATTAGATTCAGCGATACGACGCTACCATAAGAAGCAGGGCAACTTTCAACCCAAACAAAAAGAGTACAAAGCAAGAGGCTAATCTCGTCAGCAAGTGTTGTCAAGCGACTATCACCTTACTCGAGGGAAGCGTGTAACTCCCTGCACATGCTTAAAAGTATCTGTACCAGTCAACAAGTGCAGCATCTTGCTTGGCACTCCACATGATAACATATTTGGTCCCACTGCTGTTTATGGTCACATCATACTGCTTCTTTCCTGCTCCTCAAACAGAGCTAAATTCACTGTCCCTGTCGTAGAGGTCTATAGCCCCTGTGGTAAACTCAGCTACAGTGAGGGAAAAAAGTATTTGATCCCCTGCTGATTTTGTACGTTTGCCCACTGACAAAGAAATGATCAGTCTATAATTTTAATGGTAGGTTTATTTGAACAGTGAGAGACAGAATAACAACAAAAAAATAAGTATTTGACCCCCTCTCAAAAAGATTTCTGGCTCCCAGGTGTCTTTTATACAGGTAACGAGCTGAGATTAGGAGCACACTCTTAAAAGGGAGTGCTCCTAATCTCAGCTTGTTACCTGTATAAAAGACACCTGTCCACAGAATCAATCAATCAGATTCCAAACTCTCCACCATGGCCAAGACCAAAGAGCTCTCCAAGGATGTCAGGGACAAGATTGTAGACCTACACAAGGCTGGAATGGGCTACAACACAATCGCCAAGCAGCTTGGTGAGAAGGTGACAACAGTTGGTGCGATTATTCACAAATGGAAAAAACACAAAATAACTGTCAATCTCCCTCAGCCTGGGGCTCAATGCAAGATCTCACCTCGTGGAGTTGCAATGATCATGAGAACGGTGAGGAATCAGCCCAGAACTACACGGGAGTATCTTGTCAATGATCTCAAGGCAGCTGGGACCATAGTCACCAAGAAAACAATTGGTAACACACTACGCCGTGAAGGACTGAAATCCTGCAGCGCCCGCAAGGTCCCCATGCTCAAGAAAGCACATATACAGGCCCGTCTGAAGTTTGCCAATGAACATCTGAATGATTCAGAGGAGAACTGGGTGAAAGTGTTGTGGTCAGATGAGACCAAAATCGAGATTTTTGGCATCAACTCAACTCGCCGTGTTTGGAGGAGGAGGAATGCTACCTATGACCCCAAGAACGCCATCCCCACCGTCAAACATGGAGGTGGAAACATTATGCTTTGGGGGTGTTTTTCTGATAAGGGGACAGGACAACTTCACCGCATCAAAGGGACGATGGACGGGGCCATGTACCGTCAAATCTTGGGTGAGAACCTCCTTCCCTCAGCCAGGGCATTGAAAATGGGTCGTGAATGGGTATTCCAGCATGACAATGACCCAAAACACACGGCCAAGGCAACAAAGGAGTGGCTCAAGAAGAAGCACATTAAGGTCCTGGAGTGGCCTAGCCAGTCTCCAGACCTTAATCCCATAGAAAATCTGTGGCGGGAGCTGAAGGTTCGAGTTGCCAAACGTCAGCCTCGAAACCTTAATGACTTGGAGAAGATCTGCAAAGAGGAGTGGAACAAAATCCCTCCTGAGATGTGTGCAAACCTGGTGGCCAACTACAAGAAACGTCTGACCTCTGTGATTGCCAACAAGGGTTTTGCCACCAAGTACTAAGTCATGTTTTGCAGAGGGGTCAAATACTTATTTCCCTCATTAAAATGCAAATCAATTTATAAAATTTTTGACATGTGTTTTTCTGTATTCTTTTTGTTGTTATTCTGTCTCTCACTGTTCAAATAAACCTACCATTAAAAGTATAGACTGATCATGTCTTTGTCAGTGGGCAAACGTACAAAATCAGCAGGGGATCAAATACTTTTTTCCCCTCACTGTAAATGCACTGTCCCTGTCGTAGAGGCCTATAGCCGCTGTGGTAAACTCAGCTAAATGCACTGTCCCTGATATAGAGGCCTATAGCCGCTGTGGTAAACTCTGCTAAATGCACTGTCCCTGTCGTAGAGGCCTATAGCCGCTGTGGTAAACTCAGCTAAATGCACTGTCCCTGTCGTAGAGGCCTATAGCCGCTGTGGTAAACTCAGCTAAATGCACGGCCCCTGATATAGAGGCCTATAGCCGCTGTGGTAAACTCAGCTAAATGCACTGTCCCTGTCATAGAGGCCTATAGCCGCTGTGGTAAACTCAGCTAAATGCACAGCCCCTGATATAGAGGCCTATAGCCGCTGTGGTAAACTCAGCTAAATGCACGGCCCCTGATATAGAGGCCTATAGCCGCTGTGGTAAACTCAGCTAAATGCACTGTCCCTGTCATAGAGGCCTATAGCCGCTGTGGTAAACTCAGCTAAATGCACGGCCCCTGATATAGAGGCCTATAGCCGCTGTGGTAAACTCAGCTAAATGCACTGTCCCTGATATAGAGGCCTATAGCCGCTGTGGTAAACTCTGCTAAATGCACTGTCCCTGTCGTAGAGGCCTATAGCCGCTGTGGTAAACTCAGCTAAATGCACTGTCCCTGTCGTAGAGGCCTATAGCCGCTGTGGTAAACTCAGCTAAATGCACGGCCCCTGATATAGAGGCCTATAGCCGCTGTGGTAAACTCAGCTAAATGCACTGTCCCTGTCATAGAGGCCTATAGCCGCTGTGGTAAACTCAGCTAAATGCACGGCCCCTGATATAGAGGCCTATAGCCGCTGTGGTAAACTCTCAGAGGAAGTTATAAAGCACATGATTCCATTATTAACCCAGAGACCTTGCACCTTTCTACTTCCTCTCAGCGAAACTCTAACAAAACAAGACATTTCTGTGGACTGTGACACTGCTAGTTTCCATGTAGTGGAAACATCCTGCAACTAAAAAGGAACTCAGCATTTTCTAAAGGATAAAAAAGCAACGGACGGTCGAAATATTGAAACATAGTGCGCGTCAAGTGTAAATAGTGCCATTAAATAAACAGTGAAATAAACAGTGCATCATAATCAATACACTATTTAGCTTGACATCTTATTTTGCCTGCCTTCAGTCACGACAATCTAATTGGTCACAAGGGGATGAGCTGAGGAGAGAAGTGCTGAATTCCAAATAGACACCAAGCCCCCCATAGCCCCTAGGGCAGGGGATGAGAACCAAAAGGTTCACTAAAACGTAGTACTCTGGGAGCCACGATGGAAATACCCCACAGATGAACCCGTCAAAAAAATGGAGAGACGTGGCCTGGGGTGATCTAGCTGTCTAAGCTGCTGCCTCTGGAGCACATGTTTGATGTACCGCTGCCAGCATGGATTTTCGGCACTCACTCTCCTATTATTCACCTCTATCACTTACTATCCAAAAGTATCTCAGAGCATGAGTGCTGACCTAAGATCAGGAACTTCCTGTCCATATAATCGTATTCATTGAAAGGAAACAATGAAGCTGAATACAGCCTCAGATCCACAGGAGTGGCTAGGAGTCAGGGTCCATTAGAGATTTAGCAGAGACGTGACGTACCTATCCGAGCTGGGCTCCCGTGCCGCGTCTCCATCGGGGCTCTGGTGCACCCAGAACACCTCGTCCTCCTGGGACAGCCGACAGGGAGGACTGTCCACAGAGCTCTCCACCTTCAGACCGCTGCAGCTCATATCTCCCTCCAGTCCCTTCACCGAGTCCTCACTCCCTCGCTCCTGTCCCATCTGACCACAATCGTCCGTTGTCGCCACCGTCGTGCTCCCCGGCCTGCTCTCCACAAAGCGCAGTTTCTTAGGGGGCTTCTCCCTCAGCTGGCCACCGTCCAGGAAGGCGGTGAAGATGCCGGGGATCTCGGCCAGGATTTTATTGGACTCCTCCAGGGACTCCTCGTCCAGGAGTGGCCCTCCTCCGGCGGGCTCGGGCGCTACCTCTGAACCCCTCCGGGCAGGCTCCGACTGGTCCACCGCGGGTACTTCACCCGCCCCTGAGCACGGCCCAGATGTGAATGCAGCAGCCGCCAGGCCGGCGCTTGTTTTTTCTTGGCAGTTCGCTGCGGTCGCATTCCTGAAGTCTCCGTTTACCCCCGCCGCCACGCTTGAGACGCCCAAGGCCTTCTGGGCCGCTGAGCTCAGGGAAGCCGTATCCTTCAGCAGTGCCTCCGTCCACGAGTCTAGGAGGAAGGTGGGCGAGAGGAGCGGGTCTCCCGGTGAATCCAGGCCCAGGCCAGACATGTCCAGGTCCACATTAGTCTCCTTCTCCTCCCCCTCCCCATTTCTCTCTGAGGTCCGGCTGGCCATGTCCGGCGAGGCCCCGTTCTGACCGTTACAGGGGATCATGATGGCTGCGCTCCGCTGTTCACTACTGTCCGCTGGGTGTTGGCTGTCCTCAGGTTGGGCGTGGGCGGCTGTAGCATTCTGGCTCCTGGCGCTGAGGCCACTCAGCAGGTTGGCCAGCTCACGGTCGATCTCCAGGAACAGCGAGGTTTCATCGATGTCATCGTCCTGGAGACAGGTGTCCAGACTGGGGCAGCTGCTCCCCTCCTCTTCTAAGACGTGAGAGTTTGAGGCTGAAACTGACAAATGGATCAATAAAAATGTCAAGTGTGCACTTTAAAAGACATATCAATTCTTATTTATCATCCTATCACCATCATTAGCTAGATTATATTGATTTATGATGTGAAACAGTGTTTATTTCCTCTCTGTGTAAGAGAAAGATCTCTCTTGGGCTAATTCTGAATAAGCCTTGTAGTCTGAACACTAAGGCACTGTGTCCACTTCATGAAAGGAGAAGGGCTAGGAAGGGCCAAGGAAGGGCTGGGATGAATCCAACCCAAACTAATGCTGCCGATTCCTTTCTCTTGACCCGTCACACAGACAGATGTCCCTTTCACTGGCCGGCAAATGGCTTCAGACAGTGGACCAAAGCTCAGCGTGCTCAGCTCACATGTATTCACAGACATTTATTTCAAATTAGCTGAGTGTGTAGGATACAATTTAGCCAAAACAGCAGGTTTCTTTTTTTTCCAAATTGAATACCTTAGTATCTAGTTAAATATTGAACAGCTTTTAGCTGCTTTGATCCATGTAGGGGGAATGTATAATTACTAAATTTTAAAAAATACACCTAAGGGTTTTTATCCTGGAGTAATTCGCTCTGTCCTCTTGTTGAACCTGTTCACGAAGAGTTGGACGAGAGAGCTGTGTCAATTAATACAATTATCCAGTTTAACTTGACATGAACGGTGGAGTGGATAAGGTCAAGTAAGAGGTCTATTGTCACAGCGATACATAGTGAATAGGTACAGTATCATCAACATGTAGGATCAATTCTTTGTTCATGATAAAAACGTTGGTTTTTAAATCCAGAACAGAACTGGATAAACAGGAGGTACTTTAAATCTAAAATACTGTGCAACCTGCTCTGCCCTGTTTAGGCTAATAGGCCAATCCTTAAGACCAAACATAAAGGTAACAAGTTGAACATGGTCGTGTTCATTAGGGCACACTGTTTTGCAACAGTAAAAGAAAGCAATTGTTCCTTTTCAGATAGTACCGCTCCGTTTCAGAACGTTTTTGTCCATGTCCTGCCGACTTAACACAACCCTGATCTCTGTCTCCAGCTACTGTATGTCCTTGTCATACAGGACGTTATGACAGGAGGACTTTCACACTAGATGGCAGCATTTCCTTGTTTTTAACTGTATCAATATCTGTTTCTACTGGAGAGTGACTGACATGGCATGAGAGATTCATGGACATGTCTCTTAACCCATAAGAGTCTAAGCTCTGTCTAAGCCAGGGAGGTTCTACTAAGCTATATGGAATTGTATTTGGCCTTACTGCTATTAGCTCATACAAACGCATTGAATAACAGATTCACTACATGGAACAACCGATAGTTCCAAAAGAAAAATCTAAAGGAAGTTTGTTCTGTGTCTGTCCTATATCTGAGAGATATAAGAAAGATCAGGAAGCATTAGTTATTTTTTTGGACAGGTATTTAACCCCATATTTACTATACTTCCATTTCAACTGGTACCGGGGGACCTTCAGACGAGTCGTGAGGCCTGTGGTCGTCCTAGAGAGTCTCCCCTTTCCACAGAGGGGTCATATTAGTGTGTATCCCAAACTGTTCGGACACTACAGACAGAAGTTGGCAGATCGACTGTACCGACTCCAGACGAGTCCAAAGACACTTGTGGGGGTCATAGAACAAAACGGAGAACACCATCATGTTCGTGAGAGTCTAATCTTTCCAAAATTGCTACAGACGATTTTGTGAGAAGACCAATTTTTCGGGACATCTCACGGTCTGACAAACACCGCTCTAGCTCTGTCACCTTTCACCGCAACTGCGGATGTGCGACACAGGCGGATGCGGTGGATTGAGACGCATCCAAAGCAAAATAAACAGATATCTCTAGATTAAACAGATGGATTTTTATAGGGATGTATTATTATTATGCTAATTAGATTCTCGTGGGGGCATGGACATCAACCCTAGGGGGTTAAATAACATGAATTTGTCTCAATTATGAGATGCAGTGTCTAAAAACTCATCCTGCTTGGAGTAGATTACGTGCAGCTCAGTTGGTAGAGCATGGCGCTTGCAACGGCAGGGTTGTGGGTTCGATTCCCACGGGGGACCAGTATGAAAAAATTTATGCACTCACTAACTGTAAGTCGCTCTGGATAAGAGCGTCTGCTAAATGACTAAAATGTCAAATGTAGATTACGATTGAAAAATACCACAACTTCTTTCATGCTGATTCTGCAAACAAATAAGCCTACCAGAGACAAAGTGCTAGGGGTTGCAAAGCACTCAATAATGTTTACAAAAATATTGTGGTATAATTACAAAATGGAAACCTGCTTTGCAGGGGCACAGGAGTCAATAATCAAATTACAGAGGGGAAGAGGAATGAAAGCTATCCATATCATTGCTATCTTTACTGCTATGCAAAACAAGTTATGACTGGGGTGACACAGGGAGTTAAAACAATAGACCTTCTGAGACTATTTAGACTTTTGTTGCATCAGAAGCACACACATCCCTGGGTTGCTCCTCTTTTCAGTTTGCTGCAGCTAGCGACTGGAACGAGCTTAAAAAAAACACTCAAACTGGACAGTTTTATATCCATCTCTTAATTCAAAGACTCAATCATGGACGCTCTTACTGCCAGTTGTGGCTGCTTCACGTGATGTATTGTTGTCTCTACCTTCTTGCTGTTGTCTGTGCCCAATCATGTTTTTACCATGTTTTGTGCTGCTACCATGTTGTGCTGCTACCATGTTGTGCTGCTGCCATGTTGTGTTGCTACCATGTTGTCATGTTTGTGCTGCTACCATGTTGTGTTGCTACCGTGTTGTCATGTGGTGTTGCTACCATGCTGTGTTGTCATGTGTTGCTGCCATGCAATGTTGTTGTCTTAGGTCTCTCTTTATGTAGTGTTGTGGTGTCTCTTGTCGTGATGTGTGTTTTGTCCTATATTTTTAATCCCAGCCCCAGTCCCCCTTTTGGTAGGCCGTCATTGTAAATAAGAATTTGTTCTTAATTGACTTGCAAAGTTAAATAAAAGGTTAAATAAATAAAATAACAGAGGCTGCGTCCCAAATGACATAGCGTACTACTTTTGAACAAAGCCCTATGGACCCTATAGTAGTGCACTTTATAGGGAATAGGGTGCCATTTGGGACGCAAACCAGAGTATCTTATATAATAACAGTTGTGTATAATGTATAGTTAACGAGGGAGTTATGTGCCTCCTGGAGAGAATGATAGGATAGTGGGCAGAGTGAAAGTGATAGCACTAAGTCATGACTTTGCAGCATCGCTTGGGAGACGTCTAGAGGATGTTTGCAAATCCCCTTGGACTACTAATGACCTTTTAAGCTCCTGCTAAATAGCCTGGGTAACCAGTCAGGGCTGAGACCTCTTATCGGACTGGCTATTGAGGGGTAATGAAACCGAAAGTCTTCCCTGGCAGATTTAGCATTACCTCAGCAAACAGGCTAATTTTCATACTAAATGTAAGATCGAATAGAAACAGTATACAGTGTTTATTGATCTCCAGTTTCTGGGAATGTTTGACACAGTACTTCACTACTGTTCATGGGCTTGCTTTGACAAATGGTTTGTTTATATTAGACCCTACTACAGTTTGCCTAATTTATTCATTGCACTTAGGGAAAGTAGGCATAGCTCTGTTCAACTCATGGCTAAAAGTCAGTGAAAGCAAAGGCTCAACTTCTAAAGCCTCTTTCTGTGGAGAAATTGGCTTGTTGGGCCGATTCATCAATAACTGGTTGATATAGGAGCTTCCTATAACTTCACAGTATGCTTCTTATAGTGCACTATAAAAATAGCTAAGTACTGTAATTGGGCAGTCCTGCACTAATCATTTAGAATTATTAATATTAGCCAGTAAAATAATGTATGCATTTGGCCTGATGCTGAATGATTTATAGACCAGGATTAGCCTATATTTTTAGTGGACTTCATGAACACTTTTCAGCAAAAGGCAGGGGTCCATTTTTCCAACTGTGATAAATGTCATGCCTGTTATTAAATTAATAATTAAAAGAGGATAATATCCACGACCAAATGCCAAGTGTAGCCCAAGCTAGCATGTTAGTCCTACTGTTGTGAAGTATCAGGTGGAAGGTGTCATACCGCTGTCAGTAGAGCTGGTGTCCTCTCCTTTTCCAAAGAGAAACTGGTACTTGGCCTTCGCAACACTTTGAGCATGTGAAGACGAGCTGTTAACCCAAACAAACGTTTCAGCCTGCAAGAATAAACAAGAAAGAACATGTGTTTACTGCAGGCAAGATGATTCTCTGACAAGCAATCATTATCATTCATAATCATTGAGATCTCTCATTGAGATCTCTCTCTCTCATCGCAGTGCTAGCTGTGCCACTAGAGATCCTGGTTCGAATCCAGGCTCTGTCGTAGCCGGCCGCGACCGGGAGACCCCATGGGGCGGCGCACAACTGGCCCAGCATCGTCCAGGGTAGGGGAGGGTATGGCCGGCAGGGATGTAGCTCAGTTGGTAGAGCATGGCGTTTGCAACGCCAGGGTTGTGGGTTCGATTCCCATGGGGGGCCAGTATGAAACATTTTTATAAAAATAAATAAAAAATAATAATGTATGCACTCACTAACTGTAAGTCGCTCTGGATAAGAGTGTCTGCTAAATGACTAAAATGTAAATGTAAATGTAATCTCTCACCACCAGTGGCCATTGATTGGACAGTAACCGAGTTCATTTCATCTGGATGTTTGGAAACCAAAATCTAAAATCAGGCTAGTCACATCAGCTTGACAGCAGGCCAATTTCTATTTAAACATCTGATCATGTTTTCAAAAGCATTTCCCTTCACCATGCTCTATGAATCAGCTTCAGGTCTTGACAGCTTTTCTGATTATGAACGACCAAAATAGTTTCCAGATGCTTTATTTTGATTCATTGATTTTTTTAACAGCAACATCTTTGATTCATTATGATGTACAGAGTACCATCAGCCACTTACCGCCATGTCTCTTTCAAAGCAGGGAACGCTCGTTGGTAAAACCTCTGTGAGCATAAGGGTAAAACTAACATGAGTTTGTAATGTAAAACCATAAAGTTATTACAAATGAAAAAAAGGCCAAAGGCAGAATCTTGAAAGAGCGTAACCTAGCCCAGGGGTTCCGAAACTTTTTCACTTAGGTCCCCCCTTCCAGCATTGGGGAACATCCCGTGGCCCTCTTGTTGGCAGAGAGAACATTTTATAGGTTTAAAGCTTATTTCCTGCAATTCTACACATTTATCATGGGGTGCAGAGAACATTTTGCAGTTTTAAAGCTCATTTTCTTACAATTCTATACATTTTACCATGTCTAATGTGTATTCATGTGATACTCAAACATTACTACAAAATGGGCTAAAGAAACGTTAGCCGACATGGGCTAGTTGATCTGGACATTTCTGCCAAGTTATAAATAGCTCTCTAAGGCATACAATGACTGACATGACAAGAGGAATACTGATGATGCACGACCCAATTTAGAAATTTCCCCTTGTGCGTTCTACTATTACAACTATCAAGAGTAAGTTGAAAGCCGGACTGAGTTCTTTTAAAAATAAAATAGCCGGACCCCCGCACCCCTCCTGCCAACCCCTCGCATCCCCACAGTTTGGGAACCACTGATGTAGCCTAATCAAACATTGACGAAGTTGGAGGATTCTAAAACAAATCTCTGACTTTTTAAAGACCAAAGTCAGTGCTAAAAGGGCAAAGTAAAATGTGATACAGGAGTAGAGTTTAGGCCTTCATTATCCTACACTATCTGTGTTATAGATAAGAACATGCCACACAGCATTGTCAATAAAAACTCAAGCAGCCCATGTTCTGAAAGTCACAGCCTCTCTTAAACAGCCTACAGTGATGTCTCTAGAACGTGAAGTCTGCCTGCCAGGCTGACAATGCCATCAGAGAGCGGTCTCATGTATCAGAGTAGCTTCTCACCTGCCATGATCTCAAAGACACTTAAGGTACTGCCTAGGAGGTCACAAGTTCACATAGGAAGGATCCATTGAATGTACGTGAAGCGTTTGGCTCTCTCACTCCAAGTAAGGCTAGTGAATGCTGTTTGAACCTTAGTAAAGGCTCAGTAAAGTATTTCATTAGCCAACATTCCCATCAGCCATACAAATGAATAGGCCTAGTTCTGCTCAAGTTTACAACAGTGATTGCATGACGTTCATTCAGGATGACTCAACAGGAGAAAGGCACTCCGATTCAATCAAATCCACATTTGAAACCATTCCAAAGCTTAGTGCCATGACCATTACAAGAATTAAGCTCTGCGGATCAAATGGCAGGCAACTAAAACTGTAATTACTCCACCATCCATCAACGAGCAAAGGGGAAGAGTGGAAAAAGCACCATAGATGGGCTACAGAAACGCAGTGAGATCATTATTTAGAAATACTCAATAATAGCCTACATTTTGGGCTACACTAGGTTAGTAGGCTATGACAGCTAGTTTAATCTGAAAGATTGATAGAAAATTCCTACATAGACTAAATAGCAACTTTCCAAGTAACTGACCTTGTAAATTACATTCCAATCTAAATTGAGAGGTTAAATTGTAGAAGGGACTATGGAGTGAACCTAGCTCTCTGTGGGAAAGCTGTTGCCATGGCTGCCAATGGGAGACTTGGGAATGCAGACCTCTTTTCTCAGAAAAGTGTTTTTGCATCGGTCCCCCCAAACTCTCTTGTAATTAGACCTTGCTTAAATTGACAATTGATAGGCCAATATTGATGACTCAGTGCCCATAAAGAGACTAAAAAGGTATCATGTTGACTGCAATAACGGGATTTATGCTATTCAAATGAGGTGGTTGGTTAGTCAGAGACCATCTTTTGGAACTGTTACGACATTCATGAGAAATGTTGTGTTGATCAAGGTGAACAAAGCCTGGAAAAATAACAAAATTCCATCATTTTGTGAAAGACAAGAGGCTATGGAAGTGTTTTTCACAGAAAACATTTCCCCCCAAAAAAACACTTTGGTTAGCCTAGATAGACTACACCACTAAATCTGACTAAATTATTTCGCTTAGCAACAGCTGGGAATCTCATTGGAGGGTGAAGGCAACATCATAATTCACTAGTTTGTTTAATGCTTCGGGTAATTAATAGAGGTGACTTCCACATAGTCATGGGAGGTGAGCTGTCAATCAGCTTTCCATTAAAGGTCACGATGATCTCTGTCTATATTCCAAATGGCATCCTATTCCCCATCTAGTATACTACTTTTGACCAGGACTCATACATAGGGCTCTGGTCAAAAGTAGTGCACTATACAGGGAATAGGGTGACATTTGGGACGAAGCCTTAGCCTATTCTTTACACTCCAGAGAGGCACCATAACTCAGCACATTGTCCTTGGGGTTGCCACTAGGGTGGCAGGTAGCTTAGTGGTTAAGAGCGTTGTGCCAGTAACCGAAAGGTCGCTGGTTCTAATCCCCGAGCCGACTAGGTGAAAAATCTGTCGATGTACCCTTGAGCAAGGCCCTTAACCCTAATTGCCTAACCCCACAGCAGTGTCACATCAAGGTCCTTCAAAACACTGGAGATCAAGAACTCAAGCTAAGAGTTATCATACTCCAATGGGTTCAGAAAACCACAGCCTGAGCTAAAGTAAAGTCACTCGCAGGTAAGGGCAATTCCATGGTAACGGAATTACACTGAGACCTAGATTTTCCACTTTAAAATGTTACTGAGACCTAGATTTTTCACTTTAAAATGTTGACCAAACAAAAAACATCTGATTTCAAAGTTTAATACAGCATAGAACTCTATGCACAAAGACTAATTGTAACAATTTCCACTGAAAGTTTTTCCAGTCATTTTATTTTATTTTATTTACATTTTAGTCATTTAGCAGACGCTCATATCCAGAGCGACTTACAGTTAGTGAGTGCATACGTTATTTTTTTATTGTTCATACTGGCCCCCCGTGGGAATCGAACCCACAACCCTGGCGTTGCAAACGCCATGCTCTACAAACTGAGCTACATCCCTGCCGGCCATTCCCTCCCCTACCCTGGACGACGCTGGGCCAATTGTGCGCCGCCCCATGGGTCTCCCGGTCGCGGCCGGCTACGACAGAGCCTAGATTCGAACTAGGATCTCTAGTGGCACAGGGAGAGTGAATTTACTGTGTAAATTGTTCAAAGTAGTAATTTTGCATAGAGTTGTATGGTTTCTTAAACTTTAAAATCAATGGTTTTTGTTTGGCATACATTTTAAACTGATAATTTTAAAGTGAGTCTCAGCGTAATTCCGTTACCTTGGAATTACCCGTAACAAATCTGGCAATGTTTTATCCTCAAAAGCATCAAAGTACAATTGGAAAGAGAACATCTAAACTGGATCCACATCTGAGCTGAATTACCTGCCTAAATCTGACGGAAATGAATGACAAAAGATCAGTGTGATTCAGGATAATAAAACATTTCAAATCCATCACAATGTTTTGGGAAATTAGTCAAATGAAACAGTTTGCATTCGAGTTTGTTAAATGTGGAGAGGGGGTTCCCATTTTTTGGTTCAGATTTGCCTAATCCCAAAGCCCAAGACAGGACATTAGAGTACATGATTTATTGCATTTTGCTAGCTCAATATCTGAGCCAAACTTACATCTGCATAAAAAATAGCAGTAAATCTCAAACAGGATATCATTCCTTTGACTGTGAAAGATGTGCTCGGCTGTAGAACTGGGTATAGTACTTCCAGAACATGTGTGGGACTTGTGTGAACAAGCACAGAAAAGGTTGGGCATTTCCTTTTCAAGGACTTGCAGACTGAGGAGTTCATGGGGGACTTCCCAACCCTAACCAGTCCACAAACAAACATCTTATTCCAAACTATCAAAAAAATGCTTCTTGGCATTATTACCAAGGCTATCATTACAGAACCAATGATACATTAACTCACGAACACAAGGAGAAAATGACTGGGGAACAGATGTTGAAGAATGGTGCAACTGTTCTACTGTTCTGATAAGAGAAAAAAAAAGACAGCCATATCTAGGTGAACGCAAAAATACAGAAAGCTAAAAATAACTGAAAATAGATTGGCCTCCCTGCATCTCATGAATTTGAGAAGCTCCTCTCGGTCAATGAAAAAGTTTTCAACCCTCTAACTAAAGTGTCTGTCATCCAGTGTGTAGAGGTCTGGCAGAGTGTTCGGAGGACAAACCGAGCATTCTAAAGCTGTTGGAAACTTTCACTGTGCACACATATAGAGCAAGTCTAGGCTATTAGAGTAGTAAAAACAGTCAGAAACATACAGCCGGTGTGCATTTTATGGTTAGCAAGTATTTGTCAATCCCAAGGCTGTGGGACGACCGTGCTCCGATCCATCTAGGGTCGGAAAATGTTTTGGGGGTTGAAAGAAAATGAAAATGCAGATGGCTCGGAACACGTCGCTGCACAGTTGGTTCACTGCGTTTGGAGCGCCTAACCTACAGGTCAGCTTTTCTGTTATGACACAAACACAGCCCACATAGCGTCCTAGAGAACTTTAACTCTCTAAAGGGAAAGTAATGTCCCTGACAATATCAAGCCAGGACAACAGATAGGCTAAAAGTGAAGAAAATCAGCTTTTGAGGTGTTGCGTAAGATGAGATGCTACTCTAATGAACCCACTGACCCATCCGCAGTCATTTACATTTTTACATTTTAGTCATTTAGCAGACGCTCTTATCCAGAGCGACTTACATTTAGTGAGTGCATACATTTTCATACTGGCCCCCAGTGGGAAACAAACCCACAACCCTGGAGTTGCACGCGCCATGCTCTACCAACTGAGCTACAGGGGTGAGTCATGAGAGGGTGAAGACAAAATACGATTCCCCTGTCATTTTTACAATGCCATAATAAGGCTGGGCCACATTGGCTCTGCCATGGGCAAACATTCCAGATTAAAGCTGAGCAACACGTCTCCCTGTGATCTGGTGTGGTTGTGTTTCTGTGTCACCAT